TTTGGAATTTGATGTTTTTCTATTAGATTAGTTTTTATTCTTCACATTTGTTTCTAGATTAGTCTATGTTTGTTATTTCATTGCTTATAGGGAGATTGTTAAACCCCATAATTCATAAAGTGAAAAAGTAATGAAAAACAATAAGTAATGAAGAACCCGAAGATCGATGAAGACATCAAGGTAGAATTGGCTAAGTCTGGAGAACAACCAGAGGGCCGATGAACAACCAGGGATGCAATGGAAAGAGCATCTTCATCGCCCCTTTGGTCAACAACACTTAGAGAATTCTTCAGCAATTCAACCAGAGGCATACGATAAAGATTTAAAGATAAGGTTGTTTCATCATACCATGGAAGACAGCTGGAGGTGACAAGTCGACAAATACACTTCAAGTTTATCTTAATATTAAAGCTAATCCATAGTTTAGATAAACATTATCTATTAATAGAAGATTAGCTAAAAAGTCTCAATAGATAGTTATCTTCTAATTAGCTTATTAGTATAAATAGGTGATTAGGCCTATTGTACTAAATGTCGCTTTTACGTTTTTCTCATTAATAAAGTGAAACCTTTGACGCTCAAGATTGTTCTTTATTGTTTATAATTCATTCTTGAGTGTTCATCACTTTCGCCATTAAAACACTATAATTTGTTTATTCTTAACTAGATTATTAGTGTTATTGAGAGATCTGGGATCAACAGTAACCCATATATGCAAATAGTCATGCATATATAAACATATTTTATTCATGCACATATTCATGCATACCATATTATGCATACATATTATTTTTTATGCATACCTTCCATAATTTACTACACATGCATGCATATATATATATATATATATATATTTATGCATATAGTTAACATATTCGCATGATCAAATATAACAATTTATCATGTTTTTACGTAATCATATAACAGATACTCACGTATTAATTACCTCAGGTGATAACCAATATCCCATTATCACATTATCCACCCCTCAAAAGAATTTCGTATCGGAATTCCATTAATCAAAGAACCATGAATATTCTGTTCTCATTTTCGATTCTAGTTCGCAAGTTGCCTCTAATCCCTTATGAAACTGCCCCTAAACTTTAACCAAACTAATTTCGTTGTTCCGCAACACCCTAATCTTTCCGTCAATCACAGCTTCAGGTGGTTCCACAAAGTTCAGTTTACCGTCCAGTTTAACCTCTGGAAGCGGTACAGCTAGACTCGGATCAGCCAAACATTTCCACAAGTTTGACACATGGAAAGTGTTGTGGATTAGCCTGAGCTCTTCTAGTAGTTCTAACTAATAAACCACTGGCCAAATTCGTTTACAGATTCTGAACGACCTAACATACCTCGGACTGAGCTTACCTTTCTTTCCAAATTTGATAACACCTTTCCCTGGAGAAACTTTCAACATCACAAAATCGTCCACACAAAATTCAATTGAATGATTACGTGACAACATGATAAATTGATATGTTTAATCATATCTGAATTCATCCCATATCTGAATTCGTGTAACCAACTGCAGATAAACACAATCAAATACAGGATAAACATCTCATTTTTAAATATAAAAAATCTAAAATATAATTAGGATAATCATTGAGTTCTAACAGAATACTTAATTATTATCTTTATAAAATGTTATATTATTAAACCAAAAATAAATTATTTCATAATTAAACTTAAATTAAATTATAATAAAAATTATCTATATCTATACTATATTATAAAACATTTGACAAAAACTCTTGAAAACTACTTTTTATGCGTAAAGTACTATTTATTAATGCATATTACTTAAAACTCAAGATTACAAGTAGATTGTACGTAAGTACAACTTATTAAAGCTACATATCTGAATTCGTGTAACTAATTGCAGATAAACATAATCAAATACAAGATAAACATCTTATTTTAAATATAAAAATTCTAAAATATAATTAGGATAA